GTGACAGGTGGAGAGCTGGCGACTTCTGTTGATTCGACTAGACTGCGATATTTAGGGCTTGGTCATTCTAGTATTGATTCCTCGCATAGATTGAAAGAGGGTATGAAGACCTGCAGTTTGAAGTCCAGTGAACATGTTGATGTGAGCAAGAAGACCGAGGTGAAGTGTGGCACCTCTATTCACCGTGCTAATGGTCGTTCTGGAGGAGTTCATGTGGATGTTTGGGTAGGGGTGAGCACGGTTCGGTTCGGGTCGGTTTTTACCAAAATTTGAACAACCGAACCGAACCACTTATAATTCAAAACCGAACCGAACCGTTGCAAATCGGTTCGGTGCGGTTCGGTTCGGTTTGTTCGGTTCTAACTTTATCAAGTATAACTTCACTTCAATTTATCTTTTATATATTCTTATTACCCTATGCCAGCATGTATTTATTTTTTAACTTCACTTCAATTTATTATTCTTACTCATGTATGTATACTGTTTTTAAGTGAAGTAACTTGTCCTTTTGGATTAAATACTAGACTCTGACGTTGTAATTTTTTAGTAACGGACTTGCTTTGTCTTTGTGTAGCAAGCTTTGACTTTGGTCTTTGTGGAGACAAAAAAAAGGAGCTGACTCATTAGAACATTGGTTATGTATGAATCAATTCCCTTTGGGACGGGTCGGGTAAACACAAACGAGTTTGAAAGTTTTGGGAATATATTCGGTCGGTTCGGGTCGGTTCGGTTTGAAAAGTTGTCAACCCGACCCGAACCGTCTTACTCTTAAAACCGTTTTTTTCGGGTCGGTTCGGATCGGTTCGGTCGGTTTTTTCGGTTTGAACCGAACCATGCTCAGCCCTATGTTTGGGGGCCTTCCAAGGGGGCATCATTAGGAGGTAATAGAAGTTTGGTTTCCTTTGTTGGTGGCTGTTCTAGGCGTGTTTGGGTTGCAACCAAATCCCCTATGGAGAAAGTCCTAGTAGTCTCTAACAGTTTGAAGAAGTGTGTGATAGACAGAAAGGTGAAGGTACTCCATTCTGGTGGGAGGTACAAGATGGACCTATTTCTGTATTGGAGCCGAGCTCACGGCATTTCGAGACACTTCGTTGGAAAGGAAATCTTGGGGCAACTAGATAGGGTGGCAAATTTGGAGAACCGTGCATTACTGGAGGAGGATCGGTGTTTGTGGTCGAGCAATGGTTTACAGAAGAGTTTCTGGACTGAGGCTTCGACATATTTGGGTCATCCTATTTTAGAGTTGTCAACTGCTGTGATTGGAGGTAAAACTTTATTAGAAGATAGGTCTGGTAGTGTCACTTTGGTTGAGGCTTCGATGAGGGAGCTAATTGACTCTCAGCAGGTGGAGAGTTTTGGACAAACCTTAGAGGTATCGCAGCGGGTGGAGTGTGATGCTACTCCACATTGGGTGGAGACTCCAGATCATACTGTATCATTTGGGATTCCAGCTGAGGTGACACAGCTTAGGGATCATTTGGATTTGGGTGCAGATGATGAGTTGGGTTTTGATTCGAGTGCAGCTGATAGATGCAGTTTGGATATGGCCAGTGGTTCACCTCAGGTGGAGGTGTTTGAGGCCATTGGAGGTACTATCAGCCGCAGAGTTGATGATATTGGAGAAGGGTTGCGAACTCTTCTAGTGAATTGAGGTCGTTCGCGGCCATTTGGGTGAACTATGTTCGGCTTGATTCCTTGGGCAAGAGGATACGTAGGCAATCTTTATGATGCAGCCGAGTTTTGGATTTTGATGGGGGTGAGATCGATTTGGTGAGTTGATACCGACATTTGAAGAGTGTTTGCATTCTTATTTGGGTTCTCGACTTGTTATGGATTGAGTCTCTTGTCGTGAATTGTTTCACGGTGTACTGGACAAAACAAGTAAGACATTTGGTTTGGTTGGTGTCGACTCAATTTTGAGAAAACTTCGTCGAGGTGGAGAATTGATGAAGATGTGACTCGTGGGGGCCACAAAACGTGTGAAGAGATCACCTATGTGAAGAGATCAGCATGGGGTATGAGGGCCACAAAGTTGAAAAAAAAAGAGAAGAAACCGCGTGAAGATCATGAGTCCAGCGGACAAAAGAGGCCAGGCCCACCCGAAATAGTGCAGCTATATATATATATCTCTTTGTGCAATAACCTAGGGGTGCGAAGGAAGGCCTCTATTAGTAGATCCCCCTCCTTGCCCCGTGGACGTAGGCAGTTTGCCGAACCACGTAAAATTGGTTGTTTGAGTTTGTGGCCATTGTAATAGTTTTAGGATCCCTCGACGCGCAGTCCTAGAGCTGACGAGAGGAAGAGCAAATATCCCACTTTGATGGGATATTAGGTTTTCAGATTCTTGTTCCCTTTGAGAAACAAGAATTCTTATCGATCTTTCTCTCTTATTGTGCACCAGAAACTCTGCCGAAATTTCCGCTGCGCACAACAGCTCGAACCTAGTACATAAGTTTAGTACTAGACTTTTTAACTAAGATAGTCTCCTACAGAGTTGGGGTTACATGAAAGACTTTCTTTTATTCCATATTTCAGTGGTTGTTATATGTTTGATAAACTAACTGAAAGAAATGAATAAAAGTGGATATTGGCTTACAGGTATCATGGCAAGAAAACCGAGGTGATGGACGAGCTTTTCCTGGTGAAGACAGGCTTACTGCATTGCCTGATGCCGATATGCTAAAAGAACTGGGGTTCTGTCAAAAAACTGGAGAAGATTTGCGGAAACAAAGATTCAGCCATTTTCCAACATGCAAATCTGGACATAGATACCTGGAATTTACAGAGCAAGATCAATTGGAACTAGTAAATAAGATCCAAAATTACATGAGGACAGAAGAATCGACAAGTTTCACCTTTGTTTCCATTCAGATACGTCGAATTCAGACAGTTCCCATCTGGACGATAACTTCCTTCTTCTCTAAGAGAAAAAGAGTAGAAAAAGTTCGTTCAGGGGTCTATCGACAACGTTAGAAGTATTAGGGAATCAAACTCTAAGAACTGCGTGAACTGTTCATAAGTATTGTTGACATTTGAGAAAAGAAGCATTCATGTAATATTTGTAGATTGTATGTATACTAGAGATTTAATTATCGTTGGAACTTTTAATGGTTTGGTGACTATTGCCACTTCAATGCTCCCTTTCCTTGTCCATTAGAATGTGAACATAGGAACTTGCATTTTAGTTTTGAACTGCCTTGCAAAGTTCTTTATGGCGTTTGGTCAATCTTGGGCAGTTAAAGAATTTTGACCAGTAGTCCTAACAAATTATGTCCAAAGATTGAATTTGTGACTCCATGTTCTAAAGCTTTCACCCTCAAGTGCTTGAAAGGCAATGGCCGTTTAAGCTCACTTATCTCACTAAAGAAGACCAATAAATACCCATCATACGGTCATAACCTCGTTGGTCAGTGACAGTAAGCAGGAGGATATACATCTCTATCCATGACAAACCTTATGTCTTAAAAGATGATAATTTTTAGCATTAATTGCGGATAGACCCCATGTACTGTTGCCCAATTGCGAAGAGACCACCTATAGTTTTATAATCGCAGATAGATCCTTGAATGAAATTTTTTTAACTCTTTAGCCCTCAAAGAAAACGATTTTTTTTTTTGACAAATAGATCTTTTGAGCGTTAAAGGGTATAAATAAATAAAAATTTCACTGATAGACCCCATGTACTGTTGCCCAATTGCGAAGAGACCACCTATAGTTTTATAATCGCAGATAGATCCTTGAATGAAATTTTTTTAACTCTTTAGCCCTCAAAGAAAACGATTTTTTTTTTTGACAAATAGATCTTTTGAGCGTTAAAGGGTATAAATAAATAAAAATTTCACTATTCTACTTAAATTACTCATTGGTCGTTGCATTGCATTGACTTGTGTACTACTTGCGCTTAAAGTATTATTTGCAATGATTTGCAGACTTGTGTACTAATTGCGCTTAAGTATTATTTGCAATGATTTGCAGCATATGCTACATTTTTAGTGTTTGGATAGATTAAAATTCTCATAGACGCGAAATCGACCTAGAAAACAAACTTTTCACATTGGTCTTTCTACTTAAATTGCTCATTGGTCGTTGCATTGCATTGACTTGTGTACTACTTGCGCTTAAAGTATTATTTGCAATGATTTGCAGACTTGTGTACTAATTGCGCTTAAGTATTATTTGCAATGATTTGCAGCATATGCTACATTTTTAGTGTTTGGATAGATTAAAATTGTCACAGACGCGAAATCGACCCAGAAAACAAACTTTTCACATTGGTCTTTCTACTTAAATTACTCATTGGTCGTTGCATTGCATTGACTTGTGTACTACTTGCGCTTAAAGTATTATTTGCAATGATTTGCAGACTTGTGTACTAATTGCGCTTAAGTATTATTTGCAATGATTTGCAGCATATGCTACATTTTTAGTGTTTGGATAGATTAAAATTGTCACAGACGCGAAATCGACCCAGAAAACAAACTTTTCACATTGGTCTCTCTACTTAAATTGCTCATTGGTCGTTGCATTGCATTGACTTGTGTACTACTTGCGCTTAAAGTATTATTTGCAATAATTTGCAGACTTGTGTACTAATTGCGCTTAAGCATTATTTGCAATGATTTGCAGCTTATGCTACATTTTTAGTATTTTGATAGATTAAAATTGTCACAGACGCGAAATCGACCCAGAAAACAAACTTTTCACATTGGTCTTTCTACTTAAATTGTTAGATCTTACCATCAACATATAATATTAAAAAAAATACCAGGCCTGTTTGTCTTATAAATTTTGGCCTACCCGTCGCAGAGGGAGGATAGTGTAATTTCTAAAAGTAACAACATGAACAGAGATTTTTAAAGGAATACATTTGGGTTTTACATCCTCAAGAAGTTCATTTGATTGAAAAACATAGTTTAATTGAAAGAGAGGCAATTCGAGTGAAGAAGTCCACAGCAATGCAAGCAACGACAGGCCCCAACAAGCTCAAACCAGTCCTGAAATGCTCAACTCATACAGCAATTTTCTTTCAATGAATTTTGCAAAACAAATAGAAACTGAAAGAAGTCGGTGTTTAAACAGGTACAAATCAAAAATTTAAAATACAAGTTACAAAAGGAACTGTTTATTAAGAAAGGAATTCGCCACACATGTCTTCACTCAAAAGGGAAAGATTACACTTCAAAAGCCCACACATCACAAACTTAAAGCTCTTTGTGACACTCTTAAACATACATTTCAAGATTTCGTTGCTATCCCTCCTTATTGTCATGCTGGCTTTCTTGAGACCCATTTGTTGAAGGAATGCATTTCTTTCTTTTTTCAGCGCCATTATCCATTTCTTCAAGCTCCTCATCTACAAGAGATCCTGAACGCTGGAGTTCCTTAACCTTTCGGAATTCATCGTAATGAGCCTTTCGAAGCTCCTTGAAACTTAACCTCCCTCTGTCTGTTTCAAAATCTAGAGAGGGGGGCCAATTTAAACAAACAATTTCCGTGTATATAATTGACACTATCGTAGAAGTCAAATGAGAACTTACGAAACCACTGCTTCATTACTGTTACTAAATATTCAATAGTAACAAGAGAACATTTGAAAATATCAAATTAACAGTTTTTCACTATGAATTAGAAAACTAATTAGACACCAGATAAGTTTAGGGAAGACAACTAGTATTAATATTCTATAAGCAGCATTGAATAGAACACAAAAATGAAATCATCTCACAACAACAAATAATAATGTTCACACACAAATATAAAGAAGATGTAATTGTCAATAATAGACTCGAATACACACCTGGATCACATGTGCGCAACAAAAATTACTGCATCAGACTTTGACCTTATTAACCCATATGCACAACTTTCGGATCAGCTTCCAATATTCCCTTGGGTTCAAAACCAAAGGTTATATGGAGACATCAGATTTCATGTAACTTATAGCTGAGGTATAACAAATCAATTTGGGGGTGATCTAACAATACTAACATCAAGCACAATATTTTTTTGCATATAAGTTGATTTTCTTTATTAGAACTGTACAAGTTAGCTTTTCAACTTTATTTGGGCATAAGCCTAAAGGTTTAAGGAATTTTTTAAGAAACTGCATAGCTTTTACAGCTTTTGCAAAACACTAACATGATCTTTCTTTATGATGTGCAACTATCATCAACTATTATTGCCCGTGACCCTGTTTGGTGGGATTAAAGTTAGTATTCTGCCCTTTCAGTTATGCCGACTAAATATGAAATAGATTAATACGGAAAGAGATCATTTTAAAATAATTTTAAAAAAGCCCCCTCCACTGTAACACAGGAGATAGTCCTAGAAATGAATGCATACTTCTCTCTCAACCTTTTCCAAATCCTTCCTACCCAAGGAGAAAAATTCTTATTCTTCCTCTTTTTCCCTTCCTGCACTACGCCATAGACTCCATGGCCACTGCCATGAAATTTGCACTCAGTAATACTTGAGGTTTGACTTGCACGGTTCTTCTTGGGACAACGTTTTGGATATTTGGGATGCGATTTGGCCGGAGTAAAGATAATTCGAACGGTGAAAGTGCGAGAATGATTTCCTTTCTTTTTTCCCCCTGGAGAGTGCCGCAATGAGGAGTGAAGCTAGGTTCGGCGTTGGAGGAGAGATGAAAAGGAGGAAAGTGAGGAGTAATAACAAAAAATATGCTTTTTTTCCCTTCTTCTAGATACCTTCTCCATATCCTCTTTGTTTTTAAATACCACCTTAAATTTAATATTCCATATAACCCCTTATAATCATTATGCTATGACAAATATCCCTCAAAATGATTGAAGCGTACTCATTCGTACTTTTGCCCCCCTTTGTTTGGACATAAAGAACTTCGCTAGTGTCATGCTTAAAATCATCCTTTCAATGTCTGTTCCATTACAGGATAAGGAAGAGGATTACATTAGGCAGCCAACAAGTAATATAAAATTTAATCGAATATAAATGAAATGAATCATAAGAACATTAATTAGGGCAATAATTAATAAATATCTGGCTGACCATAACATTTCATAAACTCTTCAGTTTCACTTTCTAAATGAATTTGTTAGGAGCCCCTACATTTATCAGAAACAGAGGTCCATGAAGCCTATGCTAAAGAATTAAATAAAAACCTCCTAAGAAGTTTATGCTTATGAGTTAAACAAATATCTACCCTGAAAGATGCCCTTACATCTAAAAGGAAACTAAGGCTAAGTATCAACTCTATTCCTTGCCTCGTTTGATATACACATAGCTCATAGGATATTAGAAAGTTACACCTGTGAGCAGATTAAAATTCATTGCCACATGGTTGACTTGCACTTAGACATCAGCAAATGCCATTGAAATTGGATCGAATTAAGGTGGTTTAGCTTTTTATCACCCAAATATTTCATCTTGTTTAGACCACAGATCTCTTTATTAAGGGAAACAGATTATTGCTACCAGCTCAATGAGCTCATAATCACCTTAGGTGTATTTCTTTTCTTTTTTTCAATTATTTTCTCCAACTTGATAAATGGTCAAAATTAGTTCATTTACTTCTTTTAAATTGATTTATCAAGAGCCTGAGCAGAAATAGCACCCATGTAGTTGATGTATATATACCAAATAGGTTTTCTCATATTAAGCTATAGCTCTGAAAAAACTTTATTCTATTGCTACGGCAGGTCCATCGATAACTACACCAATTTCTTGCAGTTCATGTATAAATCCTTTCCATTATTGACATATACCGGCCCTTTCAAAACCAAGATTCTCATTAAACGAAATTAACCCATTGTCCTGTGAGTCTATAACCTGGCTAGTGTATTCTTCTTCGCACACAACTTAAATGCCATTTTTTATACAAGTAATAGGGCAAGTGGAAACTCCTAAATCATTCTAAACAATCTCTTGCTCTTGTAGTAAAAAAAGCCTGCTAAACAGTTTTGTGTATTGCTTTTGAGAAACTTTAGCCCCCTCTTCGGGATTTAAAAATATTCACATTGTATATATGTTCTTTTCTTGATGCTTAGTGTTTCTCTTAGAGATCTTAACATCAAATACTTGTTTTCTAATGA